AAAGTAGTTAAAGAACGCATTTTAGTTGGAAACTACTTTTTATTAGAAGAAAATTATGAACCATATTATATGAAAGCAATGAAAATACGAAGATTAATCTCCGAAGATTTTGATGCAGCGTGGAATAGCGACATTGATTTTATTCTTACTCCTACTACCCTCACAGAAGCTCCTAAGTATGATGAGTTTGTTTTACTGGACAATCAAACACAATGTTTAATTCAAGATTATTGTACTCAGCCTGCTAACATGGCAGGCATACCAGCCATTAATATACCAATTAAGCTTTCCAAGAAAGGTTTACCTCTGTCTTTGCAACTTATGGCTCCTTCTTTCAACGAGAAGGGGCTTCTTACATTAGCAAAGTGGATTGAACAAAGAGTACAGTTCCCAATGCTTGAATTGAGAGATACATCTTTGTTCGAATAAAATGTTTGTATGTTAATATTGTTTTATTTTATGTATTTAACAAAAAATACTACCTTATAATACATTGACTGTTGAATACGTGGAGTAATGGTAATTTTAAATTTCGCAGCGCTTATCCATCAGGATTTCATCGTTATAGCTGGAAACTTGCTTATCTGAATATCGTCGGTATAGTTGGAAATGTTAATTGCAATTAAGAATTACACCAGAGCGCACAACGATCCCGAAAGACGTCGGTATTTAAGATCACGACAGGAATTCATATCTAGATATAAAATACAAAATATACTGAAGTTTCTTTGTGACGTTTTAGTCGATTTATATCCATCAAAATAGAGAAAGAAATCTTATAAGGTAAAATTGATTGAACGTTATGCATAAACCCGTTGACACCTAAATTAAGAAAAATGATAGTATAAATTGAATATTGTTTAGATGATAGTGACACTCCGTTTGCAAGAAAAGTAAAGTGTGCCATATAGAACTGAAATATGATAATTTGCGGAAAAGGAAGTCTTGTTTCACTGTCGATATCGCTTTGTAGAAATTAAATCGATTATATCATAGAAACAAGTATTACTCCAAATCGAAGCCGTTTAATCACAGTAAAGGAAGAGACATTAAAGGTACACAAATTTGTATAATATATCATTAACTTTTATTGAAAATATTCCGATTGTGTAACATTAAAAGATAAAAAAGCGCAAAGCACGCTGGCAAAAGAAGGGTAGTCCATAGGAGAACAGGGTTGGGCACGAGGTGCGAAGGGCGCATGCGTCAACCCGGCCGGGGGCTGTCGTGACGCGCTCTGCCGACGATTTCGTCAGTCGTTGTGAGGACCTCGAACCGTACGTGTCGTGAATCGTGTTTATCTCCGGATCGCTTCAACTGGTTTGTTCTATTTATTTTTCTTGTTCGTCTTCGCACGTTATTCGTCGGTAAACGTGTAACGCGATGTCGAAGTGGCGCGTTTTAAATCGCGGTCGAATTCGCGCCGCGATCGGTAGTGACGTAGTTCCTAATAAAACAAGATCACTGTGACGTTAGTGTCGAAGATTGAGAATCGTTGAATCGCGACACAGTTTAGGCGCGTTTTTGTTGCGCAGAAATTCGGATGATTGACCGTTACAGAAATTTAAACAGGTGTGTGCTGGAACAACTGAAGATACAGGAATCGAACGCAGATAATTTAAAGGTAAATGTTTAGTTTATTAATTGTAAAATGTTGATTTTATGCGGCATCGTGGAAAGTTTCGATCGTGGAATTTAAAATGCATTGTTACGTGCATGTGTGTTGGCAATGCTTTAGAACCGGAAGTGTTCCTGTTTCGAACATTTCACTCGTAATTTATACGTACAATAAATAAAAGAATAATAATTGTAAAAACGGTATAAGTTCAATGAGAAAGATATTGTGAAAATTTTTAAATAATATATTCTGTCAAATTATTTTATTGTTATGCAGTTTTTATACTTAGTCGATAGTAATTTCAAATTAAATAGTCACTATTTTGACTAACCCAGTCAGTACGGTAGACCGAAGCGTGCCCACTTTGCAAGAATTTAACTACCGTCATATTATACATTAATTATTATGTAAGTATTAGTTTAATGTATACAAATTTGATAAAAAAGTTACGAATAGTAACTTTTGATTGTATTTTATATATTTATTAACGAAATATCGGTTTGATTTGCCGAATGAATTCCGAACTGTGAATCATAACCTAATGCTTCAATTTTTGAAATTTCTCCCCGCTAATAATTGATTATCGTGTAATTATTTAAAGAGTTCCATTGATTTTAAGTTAAAAGGTCAGTTTTTTTTAAAATTCTAAATATACAGAAGGGTTTTTTATTTTTTACCAAGATCAACTTTCCTCTCGATTAACTTCCAACATCCAGCCATCGTACATATATTTCCAATTGACCGAGTAAACATAATTATGAATTTTTCTTTCGTAAAATTAATAATATTTCTTTTCCGGGTTTATTCACCATCAAATTTTCGGAAATTCGTTCGTCAAACCGGTATTTCTATTCATACTTCCATAATTCCCCGCCAATAATAACAGGGTGGGTCTGGCAGCATCAGGTTGCACGTTTAGGTTCGGGAAAATTTTGCTTTTCTCCTTCGTGCAACACGAAGCTTGTGCTCATTCGTTCTATTTCGAGGCTATTGATCGGCTTTCATGCCATATGAGAATATAAGGTTTCGAGGGAAAGTAACATCGTTGCTTTACGCTCGACCTTAATATCTTCAGCCGTGATCACCGTGAACTTTCTCAGGAATCCGTGTTCTCATCTTGACCGTTCGTGCATCCTCGTGCACGCGGTGATACATTCACCGTTTCCAAGTCACGATTCGACGGTTTTCCATCGAAATTACCTCTGTTCCCTCTGAAATTGCTTTTATTCTACGTCTCTATTCTTCGGGTATCCTAATAACGTGTTCCGCCTCACGCGTGTCACCGATGACCCACCGCGGTGTAATATTTGTGTTTAGAAAATGACAATTGGTATCTTCTCTGTTCCATTGATGATCCTAATGCTTTGTTTACCTCTGTAATTGTCTCGTTTCGAGCATAACTTAATTTCAGTTCACGCATTGCATGAGAAAAAAGTACGTATTACAGTTTGAATAATTACAGGGGCGGCCCTGAGATTTCGGGGGTCCGTGGCGCCCCTTCGCATATATGACTTAAAAAAAAAGTACCTCAAATAAAATTGATAAAATTAACATTAAAGCTTGTATAACTAATTTAGATTTGCATTTAGTCTTATGGGGGCCCTGGACCTTGAGGGGCCCCAGGCAGCCGCCTAGTCTGCCTAGGCGCAGATCCGGCCCTGAATAATTACTAATTGTTGCATAGATAGAATTGTAATAGTTTGAAAATAATTAACTATTATTAATTTTTATAGAATTTTATGGGTGTTCATCTTTTCCCACATTTTGTAACTATCGATGACACGAAAATTTCTTTTACATTATCAGTTTAAAAGATACGATAGTCAAGTTTGCTTTTTTAATTGGATCTATATATTTTTTTTTTTCAAATCACGTGATAGTGTTTTTCAAGGACGAATTTATTGCCGGTAAAAATTAATTTAGCCGGACCGAAATTCCATTTTATCGATGAAGATTATATTTAGAGAGGGTCAGAACGCGCGGCCTGAAAACGCACGATTTTGTATCGCGTGTATTTTTATACATTCTACCAGTGTAGTCTCGCCAAGAATATTATAACACTTTGGATTCTCCGCTATCGATTCCATAGGAAAAGAATTATTCCCTTCGAAGACAGGAATTACGCGTTGACGGAGAATTTTTCATGTTCGCCTATCGTTTCCTTTTCGTTCCTTATGCTTGTAAACAAAGGAAAGTCTGGAATGCGTCGTACCTTTTTACCCGCCACGCAAATGATCCATTCGAGGTTCAATTGGAGTACAAAAGGCACGTTTACGAACAATACGCATCGTCGAGGCACCGAATGGCTTCGCCCTTTTGATACGCGACTCGCGACTAAGTACCTAAACTCACTGTCACTGATATCTTTCTCCGCTGACAATGGACACCCTCCTTTGGGTTCCTCTGCTTGAATTACCACGTTGCCAATGGATAGAGCGAATAAATGCTGTCCGATCTTTTATCCACTTTCCAGAAATCTCCGGTAAAAACCATGGCTAATCGTACGCTCCTTTGGTAGCATAAGTTCCAAGCTGAATAAATCCTGTACACTCGCGAACGATAGAAATTTCAGCGATGAAAGGGACTCGGTGTATCGTTTCACCGATTATTTATGTAATTCATCGTAGAGTAAACGGGTTGGGCGAACAGGTTTTTACACCGTAGGGTGTTTTCAACGTTTACTATTTACGCTACCGATATCTCTCTGTTGGTTAACAATAGCACCTCTCTCGAAAAGGTTTGAATTACAGCATCGCGACTGGTTTGAGTGGATAAATGATACCTGATCCTATTCAGCCTGGCACGTGATGGAAGCTAGGGTCAAAGAGTCCAAGTACCTCGACTTATGGGGACATTGCGCTAACCCTTTGGATGTTTTTTGTTTCAGGGAAGAAAATAAGGAGTCGACCAGCTGTGTGGTTGTGTATCCCAGTGTCTTGTTTCGTAATTCTGGATCCATCAGCGCTTGCAGAGATCATCCAGAGTTATCTTCCTCTCATCCTCGGTTGAATCCTGATTAGGTGAGTGACTAATTTTGTATCTCAATTCGATAGCGACTCGAACCGGAAATACGTGCTTATAATGCCCGGTATTTGAAATAGTTAATGTTTGTATCGTTTTGATCTCGATTTCGTTAGAATACGTAATGAATCGATGCCAATGGAAACAAGGACTAATCAATCTTTGGTCGAAGATTTTTCATTATATCCGCGGCGAGACCGCAAGGCTAATATTACCTGTTCGACGTGGCATAAAATTCCTTCCTCCGATATCCCGTTGCGAATTTGCATTTTCCTTGTAATCGCGTACCGATATCTGTTATTCAAATTATTGCCTGCAATCTATGATTTTCAATGAAACCTTCAAAATAGTTTCTAAGTATCAAGTTACCTATAATTTTATATAATTTCTGTTAAGTTCCATTAATTTTACTGGCAGTATTTTGAATAACAGGAGAATAGATTGAAATTTCATGAAACGGGTTTCAATTGCAAGGGGATGAAAATCTTCATCCCTGTTATAATAAGATTTTGCCTGGAATCGGTGTTAATTCCAAGGAAAAAAGGAATTACGAACAAAAGGAGATTTTCCTTACAAAGAGGAGAAAAGCGATCCTTAAGAATTCCGAGTGTCCTTTGCGAGTAAACGCGAGCAACGTTAAATTTCATGCTTTCTCTAAAACTGCTCGCCATAAACACTTGGGATTCGACACATCCGGATCTTAGTCGCAATTTAACGAATGGCGTCATTCATTCGTTTGCAAGTAGGGGAATGATATATACGGGCGATGGTTCTTTCGTCTTCCCTCCCTGTTCCAGTACTCTTCCTCTTTTTCTCTTCTACTCTCTCCCACTGGGTCACATTATGCACTGGGTAACGATATGCCGCTGTTTAATATGTGGGCCATTTCAGTCCGTGGTTACTCTATGGGTGGATCGGTCGATCTTTAAGGCGAGAACCGTGCTCGAACAATTTTCACAGAAATGTTTACTATAATCGCGTTGAAACGAGTTAGATACAAGATTATCCTATGGTGCCGATGGTTCTTGTATTATCTTTACTCGAACCTGGTTAATCTTGGTGAGTAACGACCATTTTCTTCCATTATTTTAAAAACCAGTCGACTACTTATGGGAAAATTTTTCATTTTTCGAGGAAAATATTGAATTTGATTTTATTTCAATCGTAAGGCGAGGATTTATTAAAATTTATTAGCATATCGAGTTAATTGAATTCTTCGATAAACGTCCGAATGATTGGAATGAAATTTCGAAATTTTCCTCGGAATTTAAGCTTACGGTGTGAAATTAGCGAATCTGGGTCAGGAAGTGTATCGCATCGGGCGTGTTGGCTTTAACGCGAGGCAGAATGATAGAAATTTTTGGGTCATCTGAATCGGAATGCGTTACGCGACGCATGATAATAGGAAAATTCAATTACGTTACCGAAGTGTACGTTAACGCTAGGAATTAGCGATTCTAGTCGCAAATCCGACCTGTCAGCGACGAATTGTCTGAATTGTCGGTAATGAAAGGTTTCCGGCACGGGGCAGCTTCTCTGCTGAAGAATTTTTCACATTGTCTTCCGAGTATTATTCTCTTTCCATCTTGCTCGTCTTTTAAATTGATCAAAAATCACTCGTTCGAACGGGGAAGGTAGATTTTTCGATAAAAGCGACCGGCGTCAATTAAATCACGGTTCTCGATTATAGAACAGCTCTGAAATCATTGCTCGATGTTTGAATTATTTTCGGTTCGCGTGAATTCAACGGCTGTGTTCTTGTCTATCAATTTTCATCGACCTGGAACAAAGCGGCGAGAAGTGATTTCATTATCGTGCGGACTTTAACGGGTTACCGCAAAACGAGCGGTCATCTATTAACTCGAAACACGTGGCCGGTGAACAACGTTTAACCCTTTGAGGAGCAGATTTTTCTTCCGAACGAATTATCGAAATCAAAGGTTATTTAAAGGTATTTTAGAATTCGCTGATTACGATTCGGGAAATTATAGTGAAAACAAAAACGTACCACTGCTCCTCAAAGGGTTAATCTAGAGTTTCGACGAAAATTCATTTTCTTTGCTGATGAATAAAATAAGAACGAAGCGTTAAAACAAAAGGGAATCGGAGATAAACGCATCGCGAATCCGTACGAACGAAGAAATCGTCCAAGATCGAATCCCCACAAATTCAATGATACCAAACGAACTCTAATCGAATGAAGTTCCATACACCTGAATCGAATTCCAATCGCAAAATGAATTAGCGTTTCAACACCGGCAATGATATCATCCAGGTTACAAAGAGAATAAAGAGAGCCTCTCTGCAACCCTGTCGTTTCGTTGAAAAATTGCAAATCACCGGTGTGATTGTGGCCTGTAGTTACACCGTATGGAGCATGTAATCGAGCAACCCCGTGGACCGGGGAGAAAGTCGGAGCACAGGCCAATCAACCTCTATTGATTCACTTTCCGACTCGTCCGTCGTGCCAACGATCCTTGGAAAGTCACCCTCGAACCAAATCAACGGGGGTAGGTAATCTTGGTCAGCGTCGAGCTACGTGTTTGCAAACTGACACAGGGAAAAATATTTCGGTCAAACTTCGTTTTAGGGGAGCAAAAATTATTTTTTTAAAAATATCAAATCTGAAACATTCGAAAATGCAAGTTGATTGAAACGATTGTAATAAAATTTGATATTTTTTAATCAAAAATTGTTGGTCCCCCAAGTGCAGCCAATATTTCTTCGTCAGGAACCCTTAGATACGGGGTTGGAGGATTTAATCGCGTTCTTACCGATATCGTTGCAAAAATCCAGCCGCTTTATGCTTCGGCTACCATCGAGAGCTCTCTCGAGCAATTCCGGCTTATCCAATTAACGATTGTTCCGTTGAAACGCAGCTTTTCTACTCGAGCGTCGTCGCGTTACATCGAATGGACTTTCAAACCGACTAGAAACGAACTTGTCGGAAATTGAATATTGGGCGGATTCGTTTGACAGGGAAATTAGGAGAGGAAAAAATTTCTCCGACCGATCCTAACAACGCGGCTAAATGCTGGCCGATGTAATTAACCCATCGTTGAAATTTATCGGGACGAGTGGTGGGTAATGTTAGGTGAACAACGGACCAGCACGGTCCGATGCGTATCTGATTTACAGGGTCGCTTAACGCGCGATTAACGACCGCGCGAAACAACGAGAGGTTACGTTAACAGCGATAGGAAAACAATTGGGAACGTTTCGAAGGCTACTCGAGCGAGTAGAATCGAAATCACCAATGGAAGACCGCGAAAGCATCGAATTCACCAGCGATGCCTGATCGAGCGGATTCGTTAAAAGGGCTGGGCTTGTTTCCCGCCCACCACCCGTCGATTCGAAGGGTGAAACGAATGGAATTCGTGCGAACGCGGCTTAAGGAGCAAAGAAACCTTTGATCCGTTTGACTTTCGAGAGAATTTTCGCACCGTCTATAAACGTTTCGAACACCTTCGATTAGAAGAGACTTATTTTTTTTTCAAATTTACTTTCTTCAGAGGTGGACGATTGATATTGAAACACCTCGGGGAGGCGTTTAAAGCGAACGATTAGGTAATAAATTTGAAAAAGTCAACTTGGAAAGTAGGGATCCGGATGATAAATCCAGGGAATTGGGAAACTTTTCCGATAGAGCGATCCTGATAACAGAATGGAACAAAGTCGAGGGTGAATCCGAACGGAGGTTGAAACTAAAATAAAAAAGTCTTCTTTAAATGTCTGGCACGATTTCATAAACTCATCGTCGATAGTTTTCGCTCAGAATAGCCGTGTCTTTATTGGAAAATTTACAGTTTACGTAGAGGATATGTTTATGGAAACGTTACGGTTAGTATTGATTTCCAGGGGAAAGAATTTGTCTGGGGTACAATTTCGATAAGCCAGGTATATCTTATAAAATTTCCAATAATGTCGCTCCCGGGTAGATATCGTGAAAATTTATTTTGAGGGCATGCAGCTGTGTCAGCCGGCGTTAGACCGGAAGATTCTTCCACGGTAGCCTACATCTAGCATTCGGCATCCCTCGGTGATGCAGGGGTGAAACCGATATCCCAGCAATTTTCTCAATTGCATCCTATCCTCTTCTCCGACGGAACGGCATTTCCGCCTTCCCTGCAATTTGTATATTAATCCGCTATCATATCGTTATCGCACCAGTGGGAAACAGTGTTTAATTTATTTTTCATCGAGCAAAGGAATTTATAAATATCAAATGATACTTTACGAATAGGATCGTTATTTAGGATCTTAGAGTATAATTTTTCGGGAGGCAAGAATGAAAAGGCCACCTTGAACCGGCTTTCGCGGAGGGTGTAATTAAAGGGATGGCGAATCTAGATAGCGCTTTAGTCTCTCGCTGCAGCATCATGCTTGTTCACCCGTTGAAGGTACTCGTACCACATCTCGAGGAGGCGGTGTTTTACACCCCTTGGGACACGCGATCTATCAGCGTTGTTCCTGTCAAGCGTAATCACCGCCCTTAACCCTTCCGTTCTTAAAAGATTACGTCATACGCGAGACAATGGAATTTTTCTGTTTAAATTATAAAGGGCAGGTAGGGATTGGGTAATTGGGGGTAATGGAGCTGGATCAAGAAGCGTTCTTCCTTCCCTTTGATCTTTTTCAATATTTCTTTGAATACCATGCGCGAAATTGTACGGTGCATCGAAAGAGGAAAAACGTGAAAAGGTCAACCGCGTCAAAGGGATAAAGTTTATCGATGATATACTGGAACGGCAAAATAGCTCGGGGCGGACTTAATCGTGGGAAAGATGCGAGAGGTGAATTTTTCAAACGGGGATACGTCCGCGTGTAATTTCGATAGTCGAAACGAAGAATCGATGGACACACGCGGATGGTTTCGCTGGTTTTTGATCGGGACGACTGTGAAACGAGAGCCCTGGTACACCGTGGTTGCCGGGGGGAAAAAAGTAATTAATTTCTTGCTCGTTCATCCGTTTCGCGCGATCCGCGCAAGATGTGTGGGTGAACGATGTCCATCTGCGCGGCGTACGCGTAATTTCCCCTCGAAACGCAACGGAATTTCGAACTTTCATTCATTTATTTATTCGTTCGTTGTACCGTACATTGCTCTCTTTTCATTTTTTAATTTTTATTTTAATTGGAAAACAGATATCTGGCTGTAAAAATTCGTTTCGAAAGTTTTGAATCGTTAGCGTGATTCGTGGAGAATAACAAATCGAAAAGTCCATTACCATTTTGCGATATAAAAGTGGATATCCGAAAAAGTATTATTTAGAAAGAATGATCTCGAACCCGAAAATTTAAAAAATTATCAAACTTTGTGAAGTTTTCCGATATCTTCAACGGTTTTGAAGGAAAAGAAAAATAACATGTAAATCGTCCGAATTTTTAAGGGCGATTTCCACCCCTTTAAACTGAAAATTGTATTTTCATAATTTTTTGAATTTTTCGATTCGGGATCATTACTTGTTAGTTTATGAAACTTTAAACTTTAAATCATCGTACTGTTAGATTCTACTTCGCGGGGTTGAAATGTTCAAGTTGCAATCGCTATAATTTGTTAGCGCAATGGAATTGATTTATCTCGCGCAAGAAATTTGAAAGTTCCCTCGGTTCTAACGAGTTTTTCCACGGAAAATACCACTTCATCCTAGCAATTGCAGTCACCAGGTTTACAGAGTTGTCTCGAGTGGTACGCAGTAGTTGAAGCGTTAATATTCCCGTGAAGTTTTAACGAAATTAAATGTAATTGGATCAACGTCGACCCAATTCCTATCCGTCGGGGTTAACTTATTAATTGCAAGTTTCCAACTAATTATTCGATCGTTCATTTATCGAGGACGTGTCTTTTGTGCGGCCAACGTGTGTGTAACCTAATTTCCGTTTAAGACAATTTTGAAAAGATTTCTTGAAAATCTACGCCTATTTCGATTAACGTAATTAAAGCGATTCGAACGTCTTGTCTAATTGTTAGCGATAATACATAGTAAGTCTGGATCGAAGTTGTTCGCAACTGGATATCCGATTTGCATAAGGAATGCAACTGTGACATCGTTAAAATTTCATAAGTCCGAGGAGAAGAAGAATAACGAACGCGTCTCGCGACGAAACTTTTCCCTTCTTCTCGCGGAATCGTATTAATAATTCAACCTTAGCAGACGGTAAAAAAGTAAGTACCCCTTTAAGATCCTTAAAAGAAGCATTATATTAGCTCGACAAATTCGCCATCTTCGCGTTTCTTTTACTCTATAAAATTATTTACTATAGTTTCATAGAAATACGGTGCAATCTGAATTTCCCAGACGATTTTCTTTTATCCCGACGATCGATGCAAGAGTAATCTATCCTGATTAAAAAGTTGGAATTTATAAGACGAACTGATTGGAAACCGTTCCATTTACGAGAATATCGAGAACCTGGTCGCGTTCTTTTGTTCGTCCGAATCATTCGACTAGTTTTTATTAATTTTTTTGCTTGTAAAGAAAACTCGTTGCCTAAAACGAGTCTAATTCAATGAAACAGAACAAACCACAGAATTCCATTCGATCTATATAAAACATCTCCCTTCGCCTGGCATTGTTTTCCATGCTTTACGGGATCGTTAAATTTTACGCTCGCAACGTACGTTTCTTTATTCACCGGCCATGTAAAAAAAGCCATTTTCGGGGAAAATTGGAGAGAATGAAATGGCAAAGGCGAGTGGCTTTGTATCTGGACGAAAACTCGTTATCAGTAGCCGAATCTGTGGTCGATATCGACGATAATGCCCGCGTCGACTGGCGTGACGCAGGGAAAAAGTAAAAAGAGACGTGGTCGAGGGGTGGAAACAGCGGGGTGAAAAGGATAGGGACAAAGGGAGAGGAGAAAGAAAAAGCACGCGATGACTGGAGCTACAGGTAGCGTTTTCACTGATACCGAATCGATACCCATCGATTTCAGCCGTGAAATTATGATCGAGTATCGTAATTAAGCATCGAATCGTTCGATTATTATCAGCGGCATCGTCAGCCACGAGTCCCTCGGGATTCCTGTTCCGCGTCGTCCCTACAGGTCGTTGCAGACTCACCCTCTATTCTCGTTCCCTTTTTTACTTCCTACCGTCGAATCCTCGCGTTTTCTCTGTCCATCTGCCGATTATCCGCTTCCGTTCGCCTCTGTCCCGCGCGTGTAAAGCGGCTTTTCCGGCTAATACCCCCGGATCAGCCGGCCACGTTGGAAAGAAGGTACAGTCGTAATCGTATGGCTACGATTTTATGCTCACCTGAACCATGCTCGTTGCGTGTCGAAGCGAGTACTCACGCTTTAATACTTTCCGTTTCGTACGCTCGTTTATCTTTTCCCCCGATGGAAGTCGTCGTTTTTCTTCCTTCGATTCCTAATTAACAGGGGTTTCGAATGAAAATTTTCATAGATAACTGTCGGGTAGAATTTCGGTTCCACGAGCAACTGTGAATAGTTGTCGTTACAGATTGTTTAACGTACTTGAGAGCTGGAACGAAGTTAACTTGGAACAATGGCAAGTTCCACGTTGCATCTGCAACGACGCGCGCATTGTTCCTCAGACATTGTGGCGTGTAAAGTTGGTTGGAACTCGTAACGCGTTTATTCACGCTAGATTTACATCTGATAGCAGAGACGTTACACATTACAGGTGTATCAACGCGAACCGTAAGGATAAATTAGCATAGATGAAACTTTTTTAGATTCTTTTTTATTTTCATTCGTCGTTTGTACGTTTGTAGAAATTGTCAGGGAAAAATACGGTACCGCGGTTGATCTTAAAAACAAAGCAGACAACGTCTGTGTAGAAGGGAAAATGCGCCCATTGATGCAGCGAAGGGTGCACCGCACGGCTAAAGGGCATGTCTCTAAGTACACATGAACGTTCTTTTCAATCATCTCCTCTATACCTTTAACAGTTGATGATGATGGAAATTCAGTGGCTTTTTTTTCTCTTACTTCCCATATACAGTGGGTCGCAAAAGTATTCGCAAAAGAGTACCTCGTTTAAAATGAAAAAGTTTTCTTAATAAATTAATTTTTATAGCTTCTCGAGGAACCTCGAGTCATTTGACATGAAATAACTCGTTACATACCCGCAAGTTTGACGGAATACTTAACTGAAAAGCAACGAGAGGGTATGAAAAGCTAGGTAGACGTAGGAGGAGGGTTGAAA